TTCACATCCTTTATTATAAATTCTGCCATTTTGCCACCCACTGACAGGCCCATCAGATCCATCCTTCCCCATTTTATCTCTCCGTCCCTTCCTCCATAAATAATGGGGTGATATTTGCTACTTTTCAATATGCAAGAACTATTCCAGAAACTGGAAATATTTAGATGATGATCACCAATACATCCATTATCTCCATAGAAACCACTTTCAACTCTCTGGGACATGGAACATTAGGTCTTGGGGTTTTGTCAGCATTCAGTTCCATTTATTCCCCCAACACAACCTTCTTACTAACACTAATTTCCTTCAATTCCTCGTTCTCCCAAGTCTCTTGAATCCCTGATACTGTTGTAGTCAGGAATGATAATGGAGAGAGGAAATTGGGTGTGGCTAGTTCTGAAAATATGAGTATTGTGTAGAACAGATTTCTCAGACTTTGGAACCAGACCAGAAATCCTGGGAAGGTTTTGACCTTTGTAATGGCTGATTTAATATGTAAATCACAGCTTTGGGGCTGCCTTGTTTTTTGTTTTTGTTCTTTGTAACAGTTTGTTGCAACTCTGTTACCAGCAAGTTCATGTTGGAGTGTAGTTAACTGGTCATCCAAACTAGACTTTGGCTGGAATCTCCAGGAGGCCCGGTGGGCTTTCATTAGAAACATGTGGCTTACTGGCACTAACATTTTATTTCCAAATTGATTTTGTGTACTTTGTCTAAACAAAATTATAATGTTCAGAGTATCATGGTGGGATTAGGATTTGTGATCTCTGAATTATCAGTTCAGTGTCTGAATGACAATTCCAATAAGATAACCATTGTAGTACTGTATGATTAGTTTTAGTTGTCATAGGGAAAAAGAGAGGTTTCATACCTCCAATAGCTGTTTTAATCGAAGTCTCAGATTGAGATATTAGAAAGCGTTACGTGGAAGTGTGAGAATAAATAATGATTTAGTTTGGTTGTTATGAATTGGTATGCTGATTGAAAACAGGTTAGTTAAACGGACTGTGTGCTGGAGGGATAAAAATGTACAGCTCAGGTTGTGACGAGACTGTTTTGCATAAAGTGGTCTCTAGGTTTTGTGTGACACCCACCCCCGCCACCAACAGCTCCTCATCAGCAAGTTGGATAATGATTTGTTACTTGCCCAGGAAAATTAACTTAAGAGTTTGCATTTGGCTGGTGTAGTTACATTGTTTAATTCAACAGTAAGTTGTCTTATATAGTATATTCCACTTTGAGATGTTAATAATAGGTAACTCTGTAAGGGTACAAGTAAACAATGTTGTAAATCTTATCAGAAAATGTGTCCTAAGAAAGAGCTAAAACCAGAGACCTGATATTTACAGTAGTACACAGCTGTGACATTTAGTCTCGATTGTAAACATGCTAAAAATAGAAAATTTAAGAGGCTGTTTGCACAGTACATGGTTGCAAAGTTTATAGTTGTCTATATGGTCTTGATAATAGGTAATCCATGCTCCATCAATATGTTAATGCTTGTGTAAAAGAATTTGCGCAATTTTATTATTGGCTTTTACAGCATGGAAACACATTAGTGCGCGAGCATTTTATTTGTTTATATGTATGAAATCCATTCTTTGGCTTGACTGTTACTTGTCCCTGATTCTCGTAATTTGTTACAACAAGTTGTTGATTTTCTACAATGAACTTACCTGTGGTACTGCCTGTTTCGAAAAGCTGGACCTCGCCTACGTTTCATTGGGAAATGGGAGTGAAAATAGTTGTTCTGTATTTATTATTAAATCTCAAAATAGTCCATTTTTCCACATCGCTCGTGCGTCAGCCTTCCACATCATTGCTTTCAATGTAGGTTTCAATCTGTAAGTGGCCATTGGATAGTGAGCTATCAGATATTCACTGTTACAACTGATGAATTGTTTCCAGTGACAACTGAAGATGTTGTAAAGTGGAAGCCTCTGCCAGGGTTGTATTAAGCTCCCAGTATATATCCTTCCATTGAAAATCTTTAATATGTTTTGACAAAGCTATTACTATTCCAGATTATATTCTGTAAAATCATTTGCATATAGTTGGGATCGATTTTCATTGACCTGTTTTCAGAGCTTTACCCCTCAATTAGTCTTGACTTTTGACCAGGTTGCATTTCCCAGGGGTCTACGTGACATTGTTTCTCGTTATTCTTCCTTGGGATATGGGTGTCCTGATACAGCCAGCATTTGTTGGCTGTCTCTAATTGCCCTTAAAGTTCGTGGCTTTTTGGGCTTTTTTGGGGGCAGTTAAAAGTCTATTGCATTGCTCTTGGTCTGGAGTCGTCTATCAAGCTCACTCAGCGGGAATGACAGCTTCCTTTCTCAAAAGGAGGACAGTGAACCAGATGGGTTTCTAATTCCCAGATGTATTAATTGAATTTAAATTTCATGGTGGAATTTGAACCCATATCTTTCAAGTGTTAGTTTGGGCTTTTGGATGACTAGTCCAGCAGTGCTATCACTACATTTACTGCCTTCCTTAACATCTAGGGCAAGGAGTCTCCTTTGTGAAGCATGAAGCATCACGTTGTATGGAACAGGCTGCATGACAGTTGGTCTTCTTGCTGATGTTCCCAAATATCCATTAATGATGGTTTTGCAGCAACATTTTATCATTTATGCAAATGACAACTTACCCCAGAAATTATACAGTTTGCCTCGTTATTCATACACGAGATGAGAGCGTCACTGGCTCGGCAGCATTTATTGCCCATTCCTAATTTCCCAGAGGGCAGTTAAGAGTCAACCACATTACTGTGGTCTGGAGTCATATGTAGGCCAGACCAGGTAAGGATGGCAGTTTCCTTCACTGAAGGACATGAGTGAACCAGATGGGTTTTTCCGACAATTGACAATGGATTCACAGATTCAATGGATCGTTAATCATTGAACCATTCGAATTCCACCCTCTGCCATGGTGAGATTCGAACCTACATCCCTCGCACATTATCTGGGTCTCTGGATTAACAGTTCAGTGGTAATACCACTAGGCCATCACCTCCCCTTGTTTTCAGACGCCAGAACAGAGGAGATCATGACTTTATTCATTCCACCCTTTTACTCAATGCAGCCCTGTAAATCTCTTTACCCAGTGTACACAATAACTTTGCAATCTTGTCTTCAACTTCTCAAATCTCATCTCTTCAGTGATATGTACCTCCTGTTAACCAGAGACCCTTCCTACTCAACTCCTTTCAACTTGACTGCTCTCCCTTTTTCTGTTGTTGTCCTTATTTTACAGTGAATTGGATCTTTACCTCACAACCTGCCAGTGCTGAATTTCTTAAGGAGCAGGGATATCCTTCTTGTTCTGAAAGCATATTCCTTAAAATTCTTTTCACAACTGCAATCAACCAGAAGTATGAACTCGTAGTTTCATCCTTTCTCTCTGTCTGCCACATCCTTAAAACATAAATTTGGAGGAAATGTGAATTTTGGATGATTCTATATAATCTACTTGCCAGTTAGCATCAATCCCCTTGCTTTCAAAACTTCCAGGATTATATCTTCCTCTTCCATCTCTCCACCACCCTCCTCAAAATAAAGCAAGTTGTTTTAATTTGCTCGCTGACCTAACAACACTCATCTTTTTGAGCCTGCAAATATGTTTTTTCAAACTTTCGAGTTTCATGTCTATCCCCACTGAAACTTGCTGTTTGAATTCCTTCAGTGTCATTTATTCAGAAACAAAAACAGAAGTTGCTGGAAAAGCTCAGCAGGTCTGGCAACATCTTGTGAAGAGAAGTTGGAGTTAACGTTTCAGGTCCGGTGACCTTTCCTCAGAACTTATAAGCTATTCCAAAGCTTTCTTACAGGTCTTCTTCGATTCTCCGTCTCTCATTGATATTTGTTTGCCCAAATACCTTCTAGAACAGCAAGTTTGAAATTCTCCAACAAACGTTAACTCCTCCACCCCTAATCTCTCTACTTCATGTCTTCCAATGTCTTGTGCTTCTCTGACTTCACCAATCTGTACATCCCCTCCTTCCGTTACCCAACGTGCCTCCACCTTAGTTCTGCATCACAAAACACCGAAATGCAGAAAATAGGTGCAGGAGTAGGCTATTCGGCCCTTCAAGCCTCCCCCACCATTCAATATGATCATGGCTCATCATGCAATTTCAGGATCCCATTTCTGCTTTCCACAAGGGCCGTGTCCATCTCCCTCTTGAATATATCTCACGAACTGACCCCAACAGCTTTCTGTGATAGAGAATTCCACAGGTTCACAAATTTTGCCTCATTTCAGTCCTGAATGGCTTACCCCGTATTCTTAGGCCGTGACCCCTAGTTCTGGACTTTGCCAGCATTGGGAATATTCCTTACATATCCAGCCTGTCCAGTCCCATCAGGACTTAATACGTTTCTGAGATTCCCCCCCCCCCCCCCCCAGAAAAATTCTTCTAAATCCCAGTGAGCACAAGCATGGTCAATCCAGTCTTTCTTCGCATGTCAGTCCTGCCATCCCAGGAATCTGTCTGGTGAATCTTTGCTGGACTCCCTCAACAGCAAGAATGTCCTTCCTCAGACTACAAGACCAAAAATGCACACAATACTCCAGGTGTGACCTTGCCAACACCCTATATAACTGCAGGATGACATCCCTACTCCTTTACTCAAAACTTCCCACTATGAATGCGAGCATGTCATTGGCTTTCCTCACTGCCTGCTGCACTTTCTTGCCAACCTTCAGCAACATTCCAACATGACATCCAGGTCTTGTTGCAGCTCACCATTTCCTAAGCTGCCATCAGAAAAGCGTTAAGATTTCCTATTTCCTAAATGGATTCTATAAGTCCATTTCTCCAGTGAATCCTTTATTAATCTTCCAAATCTCTCCTTTCATAGTGTACAGGCCATTGAGCTTGCATTCCCTTCTTTCTGAAGGGCTTTGGATATATTCTGTGGAAAAGGTGCTATCTAACTGTTAATTAATAAATGCTACCACTACTTGTATGTTTGATTGTTCTTTCTTTTATTTTTCAGATTGACCAAATTGCAGATATTAGAGTTACGAGAAAATCAGCTGAAGATGTTGCCAAAGTAAGAGCATTTCAGTATTTAATATCCGTTTGTGCTTTCTTTCATTTAATCTAAATTACGAGCTCAGTATCTCCTATCAGTTCATTTTGAATGGAAATCATTAGCACTTCTTTTAACCTAACTTGTCCTTCTCCATGTCTGGTTACTATCCGCATATGGAGTTCTGAGTTGTTGATGTTTGATGATGCTGGTAGCCTCGTGAACAGAACTGCCTGGAGGAAATATTTCAGTGGTGCTTGACAGCAGAATTAGTAATTCCATAATCCTTGTTGCTATTGCAGCTGTTTGAGTCTGATAGGTTCTGTAACTTTTTTACAATTCTTGCAAACCTAGAAAATAGGAGCAGGAGTAGTTGGTCCTTAGAGTCTGCTCTGCCATTCAATATGACCATGGCTGATCATGTAACTCAGTACCCTGTTCCTGCTTTTCCCTCATACCCATTTACTCCTTTAGCCCAAAGAACTGTCTCTAACTCCTTCTAGAAAACATTCAATGTTTTGGCCTCAACCAGTTTTTGTGGTAGAGAATTCCACAGGCTCACCATTCTTGGTGAAGAAATTTCTGTTCATTGCCATGCTAAATTGTCTACCCTTTAGACTCTGCCTCCCTAAGCTGAGCTACCAAATCATCGGGAATATTGTTCCTGCGTTTACCCTGTCTAGTCCTGTTAGAATTTTACAGGTTTCTGAGATTCCTCCCTCATTCTTCCAAACTCCAGTGAATATGGTCTTAACAAATCCAGTCTGTCTTCATATGTCTGCCCTGCCATCCAGAAGTCAGTCCAGTAAACCTTTATTACACTCTCTCCATAGTCAGAATATCCTTCCTCCAATAAAGAGAACAAAACTGCACATTGCACTCCAGGTGTGGTCTCATCAAGGCCCTTATGATTGCATCAAGACGTCCTTGCTTCTGAACTCGGATTCTCGCAGTATGAAAGCCATCATACCGTTTGCTGCCTTAACCACCTGCTGACTCTCATGCTTACTCTCTGTGACTAACATATCAGGACACTCTGGTCTTATTGCTCCTCCCCCTCTCCCAATTGATCACTATTCAGATCGTGATCTGCCTTCCTGATTTTGTTCCCAAAGTAGATAACTTTACATTTATCCACATTACACTTCAAGTGTCATGCATTTTCCCACTCTCTCAACTTGTCAAAATTACACTAAAACATCTCTGCCTCCTCTTCACAGCTCACCCACCCAGTTTGCTGTTGCCTACAAACTTAGAGATGCAACATTTAGTTCCATCATTTAAATTATTCATAAATATTGTGAATAGCTGGGTCCTAGCACAAATCCCTGAGGTACCCCACTTGGTTACTGGCTGCCATTCAGAAAATGACCTGTTTGTTTCTATATTTTGTTTCCTGTCTGCCAGCCAGTTCTTTATCTACGTTGGTACACTACACCCAAGCTGATGTGCTTTATTTTACATTCTAATCCCTTATTTGAGATCTTATCAAATGCCTTCTCAAAGTGTAAGTAAACCACATTCAGTGGTTCCCTCCCATCAACTCTAGGCAATACATTCTCTCAAAATTCCAATAGATTTGTTAAACATGATTTCCATTTCATTGATCCATGCTGACTCTGTCTAATCTTGTCACTGTTTTTCAAACTGTTCAAAGCTTGCCGGTTAGGTAATAGGCTGTGTTATTAAATCTTTTGTAATGAACCCTGGTGTTTTTCCTTCTACCGATGCCAAGCTCAGTGGTCTATAGTGCCCTGTTATCTCTCTAACTCCTTTTGTGAATAGTGGAGTTACATTAGCTACCTTTCAATCCAGAGGAACTCTATCAGCGTCTCTGCAATCTTGAAAGATGACCACAAATGCACCTAGTATTTTAGGGCCACTTCCTTAATTACTTTGGGATGTAGATTTTTGGGCACTGGGGATTTGCTGGTCTTTAATCCCATCAATTTGCCCAACATTTCCCTGCTGATGTTCATGTCCTTCATGCCCTTTAGTTCCTCTCCCTCACTTGATGATGTTACCCAATATTTTTGGGGTGTTATTTGTGTTCTCCTTTGTGAAGGCCAAACCAAAATATGTATTCAATTAATCTGCTATCTCTTTGCCTCCCTTCATGAGTCCCTCTATTACTGATTGAAGGAGACCTGCGTTTGTCCTCATTAATGTGTTTCTTTCACATACCATTAGAAGCTTTTAGGATCTATTTCTATGTTCCCCACAATCTTCCTCTCCAATTTATTTTTCTTGTCTTAACCAATGCTTTTGTCTTCCTTTGCTGAAATCTAAACTACTTCCAATCTTCAAGTCTGCTTTTTTTTGGTTAATTTGCATGACTCTCCCTTGGATCTGATTCCATCTCTGTTTCCTTTGTTCGTCACAGCTGGGCCACCATTCCTAGTTTGTTTTTCTACCATAGACAGGAATAAACAACTGTTGCAAATTGTCCATGCACTCTTTAATCATTTGCCATTGCCTATCCACAGTCATCCCTTTAAATAACGCTTCTTAATTCATTAGAACCAGCTCACACCTCACACCTCATGCCGTCTTAGTTTCCTCCTTTTAGATTCAGGACCCAAGTCTCAAAAGGAACTATGTCACTCTCTGTCTTTAATGAAAAATTGCATCGTATTATAGTTACTGTTTGCCAAGGGGCCTCACAAAGCTGGATTGTCAATTATTCCTTTTCCATTACGTAATACCCAATCTAGGAAGGACTGGCCGATTGTCTAGTTAGTCTTCCAGTACCCTGGTACAGAAAGCCATCTCTTATATGCTCCAGTCTTTCCTGCTGTATGGTATTGTTACTGATTTGATTTGCCCAATTTATGTAAAGATTAAAGTCACCCATAATTACAATTGTACCTTTTATTGCCTGTGGCTCAGATTTGACGTTTAATGCTTTCCAAAATATTGCTATTACAGTTTTGGAGTGTATATAGAACCCCACTATTATTTTCTGCCCCTTGATGTTTCTTTATGAAATCTGTGTACAAATTCCACCTCCACTAGAGCTAGTATCTTTCCTTACTATTGCTTTAAAGTCCTCTTCAACCAGCAATGCTCCCTGAAGTCCTTTCCTCTTTGGCTATCCTTCATTAAATCTGAATACCCCTGGATATTCAGTTTCTATCCCTGGTCACCCTGCAGCCATATTTTCCTTAATCCCAACCATATTGTATCCCTTTATACCTATTTGCACCAACTAATTAATCCACTTTATTGTGAATGCTCCATGCACGAAGACCAAGTCTTAAGTATTGCTGTCCTAACATTTTTAGTCCTGTTCACATTATTTAGCACTGTGGCTTGAATTCCCTGCCTTTAACTTCTCTTATTTCCCATTCTGTCCTTTGTTTTTTCCTGTGTTTCCCTCTCTACTGACTCCCGGTTTAGGTTCCCATATTCTTGCCAGTTTAGTTTACACCCTCTCCAAGCGTACTGGCAAATGCTCCCTCAGGACATCAGACCTGGTCCTGCCTAGGTGTAACCTGTTCAGTTTGTACTGGTCCCTCCTCCTCAGAACCAATGCCTCAGGAATCTGAAGCCCTCCCCTTTGCACCATTTCCCTAGCCATGTGTATTCATCTGATATATCCTGCTATTTCTGCTCTGACTAGTGTGGCATTAGTAGCAATCTGACATGCAATGGCAGTTCACACTCCCCCTGCAGGATGTTCTGTCGACACCCTGGGACATAGCACCTGGAAGGAAACATCTATCTCTTCCCCTTACAGTTGAATCCCTATTACTATTGCATTCCCACACCTGTTCTTCCTCCCCAGTGCAGCAGAGCAAACCGTAGTGCAAAGAATTTGGCTGCTGCTACTTTCTTGAGGTGCCATTCCCCTCAGCAGCATTGAAAGTGAGATATCCGTTTTTCAGGGAAATGGTAGCAGGGGATTTCTACACAGCCTGATGGTCACCCTTTCTGCCTGTGGAGTCTTAGCCTGTATATGCTAGTCATGATACTGTCAGCCTCGCAAGTGCTCCACAGTACCCTCAGCCTCTGCTCCAGCTGTAAAACTCTGGCCTGCAGGAGCTGCAGCTGGAGACACTTCCTGCACAAGTTCTGGCCCCATGCACTGGAAATGTGCCCAACACCTAGCAGAAGGAACACAGCACAGCCTTGAGCTCTCCTTCCATGACTTGCCCCTTATATTAAAACCTTGGGCTGCCATTACAATCAAATAATGTTAATTACTGTAGGGCCCTTCTTCTGTGGACCTCTGCACTATTGCCTTTTACAAACTATAAACCCAGAGTAGAGATTTTACTATCTGTAAGCGATAAAAAATAATGTACTCACACTACGTTGCAAGGCAGGTGTAGCTTATCTCCTGTAGTGGAGCAAGAACAAACTCCTGGAGGGAAAGTGGGTGGAAAGGCAAAGCAAATGCAAACAAGCAAATAAACACCATCTTCCCCATTGCCCAAACTCCAGAGGCTTGCACTTGATCTCAGCTGCACTTGTTTGCTTTTGATGTCACTGTGCTTGAGTATGAACCAGAAAAGTATAAAATCTAACCAAGTTAATCACAGTTCAGTTCATTGCAAGATTGTAAACATGGACGTTAAATATAGATTGGCAGGAAAATGTCTATAGTTAAAGGTATCCAAAATTTAACAGCTAAGTGGAATCCCAAGGAGCAAATCACACTCTGTCAAAAGATTGCTCGAGTAATTCATGTAATTCCTTCGCAGTGTTTTGGAGTGCTGGAAATAAATGTTATGCTATTTTAATGTAGAGATATGTCCTTGATTGGGCAATAAATGCACTCACCAGTTTACAGTTAAATATAATGATTCAGACCTTTCGAATGTATCATCATTTTTTAAAAAAAATTGCCCTTGAGAAAGTGATGGTGAGCCAACTTAATGAAACATTGCAGTCCAGCTGGTGTCAGTACGTATAGAACATAGAACATTACAGCGCAGTACAGGCCCTTCGGCCCTCGACGTTGCGCCGACCTGTGAAACCAATCTGAAGCCCATCTAACTTAAACTATTCCATTATCA